TTTTCTTGTTTTCTTGTTTTCTCTTTTGTATAAATAACCTTTTTATTGTCTTCTTTCTATTGATAGGTTGCGGCTAATATCAAAATCACTTCACTAATGGGGAACCCGATGCCTTGACGCAAGTGCCTACCCACCCACCTCACATCAAAAAGGTTAGGCTTCCTCGCTTGTATTCATCATATAAGCTTCATCATTATTCTCTGCTTCTGTCTGCATTTTCTCAATGGAATATTTTAGAATTTTATATGGTATTTGTTTTTTGAAATTTTGTTGTTTTTCCTGTTTTTTTTTTTCTCTCAAATTTGTGTCGGTCACAAAATGAAGAAGCATGCTAGACAAGTTCAGATAAGTTCTGATTCTTTAAACTTGGGGGGAAAATAAATTTGTTAAGTTATATCAATTTTAACCCTAAACTTTAAATTTATCGAAGTTGGATAATTGTTGCTACCTAATAAATGAATTAAAAAAAAACATAAAAATATATGTAGGATATGAAATTAATAAAATTTCTAGAGAAAATTGACATTAGAGCTACTGAAATTTATAATAAATTTTGTAAAATTATTCAACTATTAATTTATGCATTGGTGAAATTTGTTTTTGTATAAAACTTTGTTTTGTTCAAATTTTAAAGGTTTTTATTTAAATTTGTAGGTAAATCAACAAAAATTAATTCTAGAGTAAAATTTAATAGGGTTCAATTTCTCTCTGCTTAATCTTCATTTTTAATTATTTTCAAATAGATTTCAAAGCTTTGAGAAAGGTCTATTTTGTTCATTATATTATACTTAATAGTTTTCACAAAATAGTTTCATCAAATTTTGTAAGTTGTCTCTACCCCGACTGCTCTATTAAAAGAATTTTAAAATGGTCTATTTTGTTCTTATTCTTTTAGGTTTTGGCCTTTCACTTTGTTAGTTCAATGGACTTCCTTCGGTTCTGATACCATGTTAGGTTGAATGTCATTGTGACCTGACTTATATGGGTCAGAACCTCATATATTTATAGATGTGAATAATGAAGATTAGATTATAAATCATAGATTCGGTAACAAACCAGTAAATCACTAGATTATCTTACCATGTACAGATATGCTCTATTCTACGTTTAATAAAAATTAGTATTCCACACAATTATTAAATAATAGTTAGCTAAAGGAATCTATGGGACGAAACAAATTGATCCGAAATTTTTTTTAAAATTTCAAAGAACCAAACATAATTTAAAATAATAAGTAGGGTAAATCTATTAGTTTGGAAAGAGGGATGAGATTTTTTTTTTTTTTTTTTTTTTTTTTTTTTTTTTTTTTTTTTTTTTTTTTTTTTTTTTTTTTTTTTTTTTTTTTTTTTTTTTTTTTTTTTTTTTTTTTTTTTTTTTTTTTTTTTTTTTTTTTTTTTTTTGGAGCATAAGGGAATAAAGATGACGAGAGTTATTTAATATGAATTATTTGAAGCGGGCGTGTCGGCTGCAGTGACATAATTGTTGCCTTGCTTGGTATAAAAAAACTAAAAGCTTAATTTATTTATTCATTTATTTAAGAGAAGAAAAAAAAAAAAAACTGTTTAATGCTTCCATTGTACCTAACATGACACAACTAACGAACTAATCAAACGCTAGAGACGTATGCTTTGGTTTGAATGGCTAATCATTTTCTTCCCTGCTTTATCATATTTATGTAATTAATTATATTGGAAAATATGAAACAATTATTAATTGTCATTTCTTGATTTTCCCATCGTCATTCAGATTTTTTAAAAAAATATTGTAATGAATATGGAAGTTCCGGTTCAAGATAGAAACCAAAAGTTTAGAAACTTCTCCTTAGAAGATTCATTTTAAAAATCTTGAGAAAGCTCGGAAAAAAAAAAACAAGTCAGGCTATTAGTGGGTTTGAGCTATTACAAAATGTATCAAAACTAAACATGGGACAATGTGCCAACGAGGATAGTGAGCCATCTCGAAAACCTCCCTAGTGACACTTTTGAAAAGCTTCGATAGAAAATCAAAAAAGCCCAAAAACAACTATTTAAAAAAATGAAAAGTTTAGAAAGATTAAAGAGGACAATATCGGTTAATTAAGATAGATAAATTAGAATTCTTATTACTTTTTCTTTTTAAGATAATATTTCGGTCGATAATATAAATGAAAAAAAAAAAAAAATCAGTAATAAAAGAGTTACCAAACATTGTCATAATTTTCCCATTTTGTTGCGATTCCTTATCTTCTATAGGAAGCAACAAGTTAAGAGCAGCATTGCCCCTTTGTTGGCATGCAAATTACTCTCTTTCTTGTTGGTGCTTGGGGTGGAGGGGCCCTTTTGTCTTTTTGTTATTATTATTATTATTATTATTATTATTCCAGTTAAGCTCTCTCTAGTTGGTGTTTGGGTTAATTATTGTGGTTTCTTTTCTTAATTAAACAGTTTTTTTTTTTTAAAAATAAAATTTTGATATGAATCAATTTAAAAGGTGAATAATAATAAAAATAATAACAGCAATTTTTTATATTAAAAAAACTGAGGATGGAGGCATGCAATTTATTAGATTTTTTACATAAAAATAGTTATTTTTGTCTTTTTGGATTAGACAAAGATGAATGGACAATTTAACTAAATAACTTATTGTCCACAACATTTAATTGAGAAAGGGTATTTTTATTAAATTTGAATTTATTTATTTTTTATTATTATTTTTATTTTTATTTTTATTATTGAGGAGAGATGTAGTAAAATAATACATGTAATAAAAATAAAAATAAAAATAAAAATAATAAAAGTCAATTGCTTCCTCTTCACTAAATTCAATAAATCATTAACATAAAAGTCAATTTTCATACTTCATTTTTCTTTTTGTCTTTTCAACCATCCTTAATTCTCCACCCACCAACCTTCTATCTTTTTAACATGTTTTTTAAGGAAAATTATTAAAATTGCTTCAAATCAAACATGTTTTGTTTTTGATGTTTTTACGATCAAGTTTTCAAAAATGAAATTACATTGTATTGTTTGTACAATCATCATGTTCTCGTGATATCTCTCATTTGAATGTACTGTTGCTTCATTCATATACTTTTCTTTTATTCGAGCATTACAGTATTAAAAACTGTTTTTTTTTAGTTTTAAAATTTATTTTTATCAAGTAGGAAAATAAATCATTAAAAATATAAATACACGTTATATATATAAGCTTAATTTTAATTTTATTCTTATGCACAAACTTTCTAATTGATTTTAAGGTCACAATTATTATATATATATATATATATTAAGAGGTTAAAATTGGGACACATTTTCTAAGGTCAAATTTTAGGTCACAATTTTGTTACATAAAATATGAAATAAGTACATCTCATCAGTTTGACCCCTTTTTTTGGAATATTATGCCACGTCACCATATGGTCATGCTCTTTATTTTCTTCTTTTATTATATTAAAAATGCATTTAAAGAAATTAATTTAAAAAAAAAAACTGAGCTTTTTCATGCCAGTAATTAATTACTCATTGAACTTTTTAATATATAGCAATTTAGTTACCCAGTTTTATTAACTTTTAACTGAATAATAATTTGTAATAATTTATTATTTATTGTAGTTTTGTTATGTTTAAAAGATAAATATGAATTTTTATTATTAACAACTTATTATTTATAATTTATAAACAAAATTTTATCGGTTATCATTTATTAAATCTTAATAATATTTTTCACCATAGGAAAAAAAGTATTTCTTGCACTTTTTATTTAAATATATATATATATATATATATATATATGAACAAAACATCACTTTCTTTCTTTTTTTCTTTTTTTTTTTTTTTAAATTGCAAAATATCGCTTTCAAGCATACCTGTTTTTTTTAAATAGTTTTAGTATTTATAAAAACATTCTAAAACCTATTATCTAAATAATTAAGGGTTTTATTTTATTTAAATTATTTTGTGACATTGTAGTATGTGAGAATTAGAATAGTCAATGATTTTGAAATTAATTACATTCTAGCTAATTTTAGAAAATACAGTGGAATTATATATATTAAAAATATAAATTGAGAAGATAATCAGTAAAAAAAAAAAAATCAATTAATAATTGATTTGCTAAAATTCCATTTTCATTAAATAAATACATAAAATCTAAAATCGTGGGTTTATGAAAAAAGAAAATAATAAATAAATAAAATCGTGGGGGATAGTAAGAAGAAGAAGATCATAAACAGATAATAATAATAATAATAATAATATATTATTAATAAGGAATTAGACTGTAATTTGTCAAGTCAGAAGCGCAAGCTATCCATTTGTCCAGATCTTCGCTGCAATGGCTTCTAGAGAGAGAGAAGAGAGAGAAGAGAGAGAAATGGCTATGGCGATGAGGTGAGCTGAGCTTGATTATGTATCTGAACATGGCAATGGCGGCCTTAACTTTTCTTCCCTAGAAAGCTCGCTAGCTGTGGGTGGTGGGCCCTCCTTTTCCAACCTCAATTCTCACCTATTCCTTTTGCTTTCACCCAACACCATCCATCACCATTTCTTTCTCTTTCTCTTTCTTTCTTTTTCTCTCTTTCACTTCACCATTGTCAATTTTTGCTCTTCTTCTTGTTTCCTTTTTTTTTTTTTTTTT